TGGAATAATACGAACAGAAATTGAGCTCTGTTGTTTTCATTGCGATTTCTCCTCGACATACTAGTATTAATAGCCATGTGGATAATCTTCCACTTAATTTTTGGTAATAATATTGAAACTTTTTTTAGGATTGTTATGCCATCGCAATGACCTACCCATTTCAGAAATTGTTACACAAATAAAATACTGACATTTAAAACGACAATTTATTGATCATTCGCCAACATTTAAGGGATTGCTCCTTAATTACTAGTGGGGAGGGGACGTGGGAAAGGTCACTCTTTTTCCGGCGCAAGGGTTACATGTTTTAGGACAGTCATAAAGAGGGTAATGTACTTTTGATTCATCCACTGTGATTATAATGGTTTACACAGCTCTGTTGGTACCAGTAGCATCATGGATGAACCACTTGCTTGTAGTTTTATTGGATTCATTCATGAGCTTTCATTCGTTTAAAGCGCCGTGGTCGTCGTGCAGCGCATGTTCGAATTTCAGGTAAATAAACAATGTATTTTACACGCGTTGTATACGTCGCTATGAGTCCCATATCGAACAGGACGTGGCGCGACGACTGCCGCCCTTTAATTAATGATCTATGGTTGTGTTTGTTATTTTCACGATACCATTATCATCAGTCTACTTAATAATCTGATGTACTAGTAACTATATCTTCTTCTCTTTGATTTCGACATTGATGTGTTGCATAATCTTGTTTTCCACGGATTTAGTCAACAATGACAGTAACATTACAACTATTTTACACTAACAATCTCATCATCAATATATATTGTTGTAAGTAAACAAGACAAATACGAGAACCTGCTTCTGTTAGTCTGCAACTCAACTCTGATATATCACAATAACACACGTTCAATAATAAAACAGTGGATCAAATAAAAACATACCATTTTCTCAATTTCATCGTTCAATGAGTACAATATTAAATTAAGCATGGTAATAATTTAGGTCTGAAATCAAAAATAAAATGGCATCTTATTTAACTATTGTGAACAACCGAGAACACAGTGTACTGATAAAATTTAAGCTAACTTATCACCATCTTAATATTAAATGCACTTGATGCATTAATTCCAGCAACCCATACTCATTGAGCCCAAATAAAGTAGAAAATGATGTCGTCTTAGAATAAGGAATTAAAGTGAAAATACCTTTAAGAACGAACAATTTGCAATTATAAATTTAAAGATCTTTAAATGACGTCCTAAACATCACGTGAACACAGTGGGGATTATTAATACTGCATATTGTTAGCTTCATGTGTTCCTCTCATTTTCACACGATTCTCTCCTCTTAAAAGTATAACAGGTATGTGGAGAGAATTGTTTTTTGACATATTTAAGTTACTCGACCAGTCTTCGGTCAAATAGCTGTTTTGCCTTGCTTGAATGAAATGGAGTGGAAGATATGGTATATGAAAGAATTCTGTCCACGTTGCCTTTTGCAGTTGTCATTGTATTGTTATGGTTGCAAATAAGTAAAAACGTTTTCATCTAATCAACTTCAACCTTCAATCGTATAATGTAGCTGTAATTATATTATTAGATCATTTCCTCTATTGGTTTAACTTAGAAATATAACTGATATTTGATATGATTTTATATCTGTATATGTTTAAGTCCGTGAGTCCGGTACTTCCGTCCTTCCTTCATTCACGGTCCTTCGTTTTATTGAGTACCCACCCAGGTATTGGATTTAGAACGCAAAGGCGCACCACTACATGATAATAAGTTAGAGTTGAGCTACTACACAATAAGTAAGAGTCAGCCTCTTGACCAAATATACGGAGGATTACAATGGATTATAAACCGTAATTTAAAAGGGTTGACAAATAATCATACAATTAGCATACAAAAATGCCATGCAAACACTCCTACAATTAGCATAAAACAAAATATACGAAACTCAGCACTTTAAGTAACAATGTTTAATCCAATCAAATAGATTTACCAGGAGAGGGGTCGTCCGATGAGGAAATGTATTTTTT